CCAAGGCATATTACTAGGACTCTTCGAGAATACTGGGATATCGTTTAAGGAATTTCTTTTAAATATTTTGTTTGAAAGGTTCTGACTTTATATATTCTGTTATTTGGGTTGATATACGCTTTTGATTTTGAGACGCGAATGTAATCTTGACTTTGGAATCATGATTTCGGGAATGCCAGATAAAAACGTGTCAAAGCATTTATTTCAATTAAACCATAATTTGATACTTTTGAAACGTCAACAAATACAAAATAAATAATAGTCTGTCAGTCAGTCCGTCAGTGAAACTAGGTGAAGCTCATTCCAAAATGTAGATTCGAATGGAGAAAAACGAGCAAGAAACTCCATTCGTTACTCATTACCGACTTCAAAAAAAGGAGGAGGTACTATGTTCGGCTGATTGTTTTTTTTTTTTTTTTTTGTTTGTTCGCGCAGTACTCCGCCGTTTGTGGACCGATTTCGAAAATTTTTGTTTTGTTCGAAAGGGTATACTCCCGAGATGGTCCCATTTCCATGAAGTCAGGATCTGATGATGAGATCCTAGGGAAACCGAGGGGAACTTTCGAAAATTCTATGGAGGAGTAATGCGTCTATTATGTTTTTCAATTACCATTTTTAAACACTACAATTTCATATGGGTTTGGAGTCGACCTGATGATGGAGTCGACAGACAGTCGAGGGAACTCCTCAGCGGTTTATATTAACTACCTTGTGTTTGGGCTTGATTAATTTGTATTGATGAGGACTTTACACCTAGATACAGTGGGGCTGTCATTAAGGGTCTGATGATGAAGAAGTGTAATTGGTAAGGGAACTCCTCAACGGTATACAGTAACTACCTTGTGTTTGGGCTTGATTAATTTGTATTGATGAGGACTTTACACCTAAATAGAGTGGGGCTGTCATTAAGGGTCTGATGATGAAGAAGTGTAATTGTTAAGGGAACTCCTCAACGGTATACTGTAACTGCCTTGTGTTTGGGCTTGTATAATTTGTATTGATTAGAACTTTGCACCTATATATATTATAAGTAACAAAACGGGTATATGTAGCTTTACACTGAAAATGATAAAATAATAAAATAAAAACTGCGTTTAAAAAACCGACTTCAAAAAACCAAAAACCAAAAACTAATAACAAACAAAAAGTCAAATCTAAAAAGCAAAAAATAACTATTATTAGTACTGATAGGTTACCCCCTCACTGATAGGTTAGAAGTCGGTGCCATGAGCTCATATCATAATGATATAACTTAATGTCCACAAAATTGTGAATAAGGTACCTATTAAGGTTTTAATGAATAATTTTGTATTGAACTTATGGCACCGACTTCTTACCTATCAGTGGGAGGGTAACCTATCAGTACTAATAATAGTTATTTTTTGCTTTTTAGATTTGACTTTTTGTTTGTTATTAGTTTTTGGTTTTTGGTTTTTTGAAGTCGGTTTTTTAAACGCAGTTTTTATTTTAAAAAAGTATGTTCTACAATGTCTCTGATACGTCATATTCCAATAATGTACGTATATGTGAGAACAAACCAAAGGCACGTTATAAATGCATTTTTAGACGTCAATTTTTTTTTTCATCGGGTAACGGATCGTGCTTTTACTGGATTCGTGTTTTTTTCTTCTGTATATGATCAATCAAAGAAAATAGTTAGTTCAAAATCGATTAAAGCGATTTATAGAAATCCCAAATTTCAAGCAATCTGTTAATTATATTAGGAACACGATTTTCAGACTTACTTGCAAAGTAAATTGGTCTTTGTTACCGATGCTTGCAAAACATGTTTGCTGTTTGCTCTCATCATAGGAATCTCAGTCGAAAAATATTTTTCTCCCCAGCACAAAAACATTTTCCACAATTTTATATTACTACTACCTATGTTGCCTTTGATTTTGTACAAAAGGTAAACAAAATTATTCTATGCAAAGAATAGACACATACTCAACTCGTTGGTTGAGCAGTCAGAAGTAAAACTGTCAAACAAAGCGTTTTGGGATCGATTTTTTGATCGGATAAATTACTAGATTTTCCATTTCCAGTCTACCAGTTAGCCACTCTTAGTTTAAACGCAAACTGTAAAATCGAGGCGAGTCAAATGGTAATAAACTCACCCCCCATTAAAATGTACGATCAAATTATAAGTATCAGAGACATTGTAGATCATACTTTTTTTAAAAGAGTAAAGAATGGAGTTTCTTGCTCGTTCTTCTCCATTCGAATCTACATTTTGGAATAAGCACCTAGCTTCACCTAGCTACACTGACGGAGTGACTGACAGACTTATTTATTTTGTATTTGTTGACGGTTCAAAAGTACCAAATTGTGGTTTAATTGAAATAAATCCTTTGAATTTGACAATTGAGGTTTTCTCCTTAAAATGTATTATTTTCTACAAGTATTGTCCAATAACAAACATTTTTCAGTCCTTTGAAAAATCATGAAGGCACGATATTTCTCAGTATTTCATACATCGCATGAAGCATGAAATGTGAAGGCTGTGGAAGCATGTTGATACTTAAATGTCAGAAATTCAGTGATGTGTTATAGAATCTGTTAGCCTGAATTTCCTGAAATGCCTACCGAAGTGTTCATGTGTGTTTGCTTTGAACATTATATAATATTATTTTGTTCTAGGTTGTACTTTGAAGATGTTCTTCTAAACAAGATGTTTCGATGGTTGGTTTTTAAATATTCATTGATGATTGCCTCGTTGGCTGAGTGGTCACAAGTGCGACGGCTGGGCAAGGGGTCTTTATAAAAATCTCAGTAGTAGTACGGAGTCTGGAATTTTGCCCGGTATATGGCAATAGGCTCACCCTCTATTATATGGGACTCATAACATACATAGTGGAAAGTGGGTGTTACATTGTACAGTGGCATAATGTGCACCTCTGCATACCCCTTCGGGGATAAAAGGTGTGATGTTACGTTATGTTATTCATAAATGTGACCATGACTTATTGGATATTTATCATAACTCCTAACTTGAGAACCTGTAGAAAGCGGGTAATACTGGTAACCTCCTGTTATCTTTTTTGTTAATTACTCACTCGCACAGCAAAAAAAGTCTTGACATGGATAAAACTACCAATAAATGTTAATCAGGTTTTGATCAAAATTATATTTATAACCATTTAGAATACACTACTCAATATATGTATTTTTTTGATGGAGGTAAATCATCAATTAACTTCTTCCACCTTGGGCGAAGCGAGAAGTGTGACAGACTCATAATTCTGACTAAAAACCACCCCATTTCTAAAATAATTGTCGCGGAGAACCTAACGGGTTACCGGGGCTCCGGCTCGAAGCGCAAGAGAAGGAACGGGGTGGTTTTTAGTCAGTAAGAGTCAGACATTCGATGATTTTCCCCCTTTAAAAAAATCCTATCATAATTAATGTCACTATTATAGCTACTTAAAGGGTTATTTTTTAAACTTTAATGTATATAATTTCTAGTAACATCATTATTTCCACAAAAATATAAAGTACTCTAAATAATTACCTAACCTACCAAAGTACTTAAGCGACACAATAAAATCCAGGCAGCTCAAAAATACATCAATTTGGGCACAGCTCATTGTGCAAATTCACCCAACGGAATGGGTCTCGTGAATTGACCTTAAAATGGACAATGTTGAACGGACTAATCGGAATATTGGCAATCGTAAGGTAAAAGCTGAAGCGGGGAATAAAATAAATAACATTTTTTTTAATGAGATAAGCCGGTAAACGGGCTTACGGATCACCTGATGGTAAGCAATCGGCGTCGCCCATAGACACCTGGAACACCAGAGGCGTTACAAGTGCGTTACCGGCCTATTGGTGATTTGGAGTTTGAGGATCGTTGAGGATTCAGGGATTGGAGAGATTGGGGATGGAGAGGGTAATTGGGCCTCCGGTAACCTTACTCACATGACGGAACACAACGCAAGCGTTGCTTCACGTCGGTTTTCTGTGTGAGAGAACATCTATAAATAATGAAATTCTGTTTTTAAACCGACTTCAAAAAACGAAGGAGGTTCTAAATTTAATCTGTATGTATGTATGTGTATATGTTTGTGCGCAATTATCTCGGGATTGGATTAACCAATTTTGTTTAAGTGGTTTTCAGAAACCTGTTTGTTACACTTAGGGGAAGATTTTAATGTATTAATAAACCGACCTCAAAAACAGGGGTGGAAATCGGTTAGTTCAAACGTAGTTTATAAAAGAATTATTTAATGTGAGAGTGAGTTAGTTTGGTAAGAATGAATTGGCACGAATGTTATGGTCGACAAAGAACCAGCCGGCAAATGGAGTAAAGACAAAAGAGACAAAAAACCAAGTCTAATTTTGCTGAGTTACAATTTTGAGTCCTATGAGTGAGGTTTTCGAAAATCCAACCGCACCCAACCTAAGGCAAGTTAAGTAATTCTGACTTCTTTGATTTACCGGATCTCTTACTACTACATACATACGTACATACAAAAAATAGTGAAATAATAACAATTTCTTGTTAACAATCACATAACATAACATCACGCCTTTTATCCCCAAAGGGGTACGCAGAGGTGCACCTTATGCCACTGTACAATGTAACACTCACTTTTCACTATTTATGTTATGAGTCCCAAGTAATAGGGAGTAAGCCTATTGCCATATACCGGGCACAATTCCAGACTCCGTGCTACTACTGAGAATTTATAAAATACACAGTAGTACTTTGCCCGACCCGGGAATCGAACCCGAGACCCCTTGCCCAGCAGTCGCACTTGCGACCACTCAGCCAACAAGCAGTTGTTAACAATCCTTACTTATATTATAAATCGGAAAGTGAGTTTGTTTGTTTGTTCCACTTTAACGCCGTAACTACTAAACCGATTGCTTTGAAATTTTGCAGACGTAAAGTTACAAGTACGGATTAAATAATAGGGTACTTTTTATCCCTGAAAAATTTGATATTCCCGAGGGAAAACGAAAGTATTTGTATAGATGGCGCTGTGTGTATTGGTATATCGCACGCTGAGAACGAAAGTGACCTATTTCAAAATTTTGATAAAATGAGTTAATTATACGTAATGACTCAAAAAAGTATACGCTACCACACTAGTATTAAAAAACGGACCTAATATGGTCAGAGAGAGCTAGGACACATATTCGGTCTCTTTTTAGTAGACCGCTTTACACGCGCCGCGCCCGAGGGAAAGAGACGTAATCAGTATTGTACCGCACGTGATGTAAACAGGTCGTGACGAGTTTAGTGCAGCAGTGACCGATTACGCTTTGAGCCTGTTTTGTATCAACTTAGGAGGTAAGTTTTGTTTCAATATTTAATCATAAAGTGACCGATTGAGACAAAGGTCACTTTACCTTTTCTTATATAAGCAACTTATGTGTCCAAAATCAAGTTCAGTCACTTATTTATTCACGTATAAGTTTAACTCAAAGACTCATTGTAAATTAGGTTATTTTAATATTAAATAGATATTTTTTTATTTGTACTATTATAAAAAAAGACTCTTTAACATTATTATGATGTGTTTTACAAAAGACATATTGATTAATAGTTCACTTTATTGTTTTTCAGAGTTGCATAATATCATAATTAAGCCTGTTATCTAAAAAGATAAAAATGAAAAGGAGTGCATTAATACTTCAAATGGTGGACGAAAAACAAAAAACCGAGGTAATTAATTATTTTTTATTTAATTAAAGTATTGAAATGTTTAATTAGCCGTTATTTATTAAGTACCTAAACGTTTTATATTCTCGTTTTTTATCATTACGTATGTACAGAATGGTTGTAAACTAAGATTTTGTTTGCAGAATACTAATGAGGCTTGTGATATCGACAAGGAAAATGTACCATCTAGTCCTTCTATTATAGAAAATTCACCACCAGACCAGGGCATTCAAATAGCATTACGCGAAAACAAGATATTGAAACCGATAGGTGTAAGTGTTTCATTTTTTTATTAGCGGTGTGAAACCTCATACCTATTTAATTAGATTTTGTAATCTTTATCTTTTTTCCAGGATGTTCAGAATCCTCAGCAAGAGATAAATGATGCATCAGAAACTATCGATAAGACGTCAAGTAAAGTGTTTGCCGTCCCCACGTTCAAGAATTCAAGTAGTAGCAGTTCATCCTCATCTTCATCTTCATCCTCGAGTAGATCTTCATCCTCCAGTAGCAGATCTTCATCCTCCAGTAGCACGGACAAATCTGAGACTGTAGCAATTCCTGGCCCAAGTACTAATTTAAGGCCTCAAGCAGGTATTCCACGTTCGTACACTCAATCGCCAGTTAATCCACAAGAAAGTGATGTGGATCTAAGCGACTCAGATCCAACATACCATACTGAACAATCCAACAATCCAAGGAGTAGACGTATTTCCAGCTCTTCATCTGCCAATTCATTGGTCCAACCAGAACCCTCAAAGAGTAGAAAACGAAAAAGGAACCCTGTTAATTGGAAGCAAAACCAATCTAAAAAGTCAAGAAACTCTGGAGAGAGTTATAGGTCTATGGCAAAATCTAAAAAAGTCATTCCAGCTAGACAAATCAAAGAAACTTGTACAAGTAAGTGTAGGCTTAAGTGTTTCAATAATATAAATGAGACTGAGAGATCTGAATTATTTAAGAATTATTGGGCTTTGTCCAATTTGGAATTACAACGTTCATATATTAGGGCATCCATGATGGAAGTACAACCTAGATATAGATATTCTAATGCTCAAAATCCTCGCCTGCCAAACAATGCGTTTTATTTCACTGTAAATGGTAATAGAATTCGTGTTTGTAAACAATTTTTTATAAATACTTTAGACATATCGGATAGACAACTAAGAACTGTCAAGAGTAAAACTAATAGCCATGGTTTCGTAGAACCTGAGGGTAGAGGTCGGCATGAAAACAAAAAAGGGTAGACCCTGAGCTAATACAACGCATCAAAAATCACATAAATACGATACCGAGGGTCGAGTCTCATTATTTAAGAGCTACGACTAGTAGGGAATTCATATCTGACAGTAAAACTATCAGAGACCTCTGGACTGATTTTAATAATGAACAAAAAGACAGAAGTCTCCCGCAGTGCGACTATTGGTTATACCTGAACACTTTTAATAAAGATTTCAATATAAGCTTTTTCCAGGCGAAAAAAGATAGGTGTGAAACGTGTGTTGCATATGAACTTGCCCCCGCAAGTACGAAATTACTGCTAAAACCTAAATATGATACACATTTAAAGAAAAAGAACTGTGTCGCAATGAAAAACGGATGGATCGTCAAAATATTGATGAGACACATATTTGCGCAATATATGACCTTCAGTCTGTTATGTTATGTCCTAGTCCTGATTATTTTTACTATTCTTCCAAAATAAACTGTCTTAATTTTACAATTACACAATTAAAAAATGGGGAGGATGATAAAAAGTCTTACGGAGATGTTTATTGTTATTTTTGGGATGAAACCCAAGGCCAAAGAGGTGCCAATGAAATAGGTTCGTGTATTTTTGATTACCTTAGTACTTTAAACAGAAATAACGCAGGTAAGAAGTTACATGTAACTTTTTACTCTGACAACTGCACAGGTCAAAATAAAAATAAAATCATTGCCACTTTATACTCCTATGCTGTCACATATTTTGATAATATTTACAGTATTACTCATAAGTATCTAATCAAAGGACATACTCAAAATGAAGCTGATAATGTACACAGCTTAATTGAAAAAGAAATTAAAAAAAACATTAAAGCTGGACCCTTATACATACCTGTTCAATTCGCTACCTTAATTAAAAGCGCTCGTAAATCAGGAAAGCCTTTCATCGTTAAAGAAATAAATTACGAATTTTTCTTAAATCTCAAAAAACTCCAAGAACAATGGGCATACAATTTTAACGAAAATATAAATAAATTACCAGTATTGTGGAATGAAATTAAATCAATAAAATTTATTAAAGAGGAGTTGTTTCATTGTATTATAAAATATCATATTCTGATGAGGTGTTCTCTGAGATTGACATGAGGAATAAACGTAAAAAAATGTTAAGTTACAACGAAATCCTGATTGAACAATTGTATAAGCAACCAATAGAGTTAAAAGAAAATAAAAAAAGAGATCTTAAAGATTTAGTAAGAAAAAATTTAATACCTAGCATATATGCGAGTTTTTATAATTCCTTATAGATTAATCGTTGTAATAACAAAGTTAATAATAAGTGATTCTTAAAAAGCTAATACTATGTATCGTACTTAATAATAAGTGATTCTTAAAAAGTTAATATACTATGTATCTTAAAAAATAAATAGTATGTTTGAATAGTAATTATAGTAGTGGAGAGTAAGTACAAAGTTCCTAAGTTATATTTTGGAAGACTGTTGTTTTATTTTAGACTAGTGTTGATTTAAGAGAACCTGTTTTAATTTGTTACAAAAATAATTATTTTATGTTATTTTTTTCCAATTTAAGAATGTTTTTATAATTAGTTTAAGTCAGAACAATACTTTTGTGTGGAGTCATTACTTGATTTATGAAACTAAGTCATGAATAAATGAAAGACTGTGTTGATTTTTCTATGCCAGTATTATTTTGAAAAGTTGTCTTTTTTTTACTAAACCTCTAGTAAGTTAGAACAATACTCACTGTGTTGTATGATACCTATTTTTGATACAATTTTTAATTATTATTTCATATTTCTTGTTTATATATTATTATTAAGTCTATTTTACCTCAGAAGTGACTCAATATCACTTAACAATTTTTCATTGTTTTCATTTTGTCCTTTTGTGTAAGACTGCAAACCTTTTTTAGAGAAAAAGTGTCATTTTTTGAAAAAGGATTGATATTTTTTAGTACTGCTCAAAATAATATAGACCCTTGACCAAAAAAGTCATCAGGAATTACAATACTTTCAATTCTAAAGTGACCTATTTTTTTAAAAATGTTATTCTATATTATAAATATAAAATATAAAAAAAAATAATAATGTATATTTATGGTAATGAAGTCCAATAATGATACAAAAACGATTTTTTTAACTTATGTTGTCATAATATTAATTTATTGGCGAATAAATGGAATATCGTGAATGTGTCCGACACATTTTTATCTATTTCCAAAAATCGTAAATTTTGAAATCGGTCACTTTCGTTCTCAGCGTGCGATATGTCACATTGGCTTTTTATCCTTTTGTGACGCGAGCGAAGCCGCGGGTAAAAGCTAGTCATGTATATTTTAAACGCTACAGCTTATGAATAGACCATATGCCACTAAGGTAAAGGGACAAATAGCATCAGGGAAGGTCTGTAAACCGCTGGCCTTACCTAACGCTATAAACATATTCAAACCGAAGGTGTTCTGCACAAACACGTGTAAAGTGTTTAATTTATTTTGAGTTCTATTTTGTTATGAAAAGATGTTGAATTTCATTACTTCCATTTTCAGAGTCGGGACTTAAAAGGTGTTTGTGTAATTAAACATTATTTTGTTTAATTTTCACCCTCAAAACATTCACTTACCTACTTAGGTGTAATGTAATTTTCCAAGATATGGTGACAAAATTGAAAGCATAACTACATAACCGTATTTGTCAAATGACAGAAGATTAGTGTTAAAGTATAAAATTGTTGTATAGATAATAGATGATAATAGTTTAAAAAAAATAAGCACAAAAGATTTTTCGTAAAATAAAATACGATTGTTTCTTTACAGACAAAACCCAAGGTTATAAGCCGGTAAACGAGCAGTCGGATCACCTGATATTAAGCAATCGGCGTCGCCCATGGACACCTGGAATACCAATTCCATTCATAAACTTCAGCATTAAATTCTTAACATATTAGCACTTCACACCAAATCGACTTCATAAACTCCCACAAACAAAGCCCCCACTGCAGTCAGTTTTACTCCCAAACAGGTCTAAACACAGCTCGGAATGAATGGAATAGTGTGTCAGCTGCCTCGCTCACCGCACGTCGTAAAACTTGATTGAGAGGAAGACTGTAGTGTCGTAAGTGTCACAGCCAGCCATATGTCTATGTCCTACGCAGTGGGAGATAAAGCTGATGTATTTTTGGGGCATGACTAGGAATACGGCGTGATTGGTTGAAATTTTGCGCAAAGATTAATTTTGTAGGACAAGCTGGTAAGATTTCAAGGTCAAGTTTATATTTGTTTGATATTTTCTGTAAGCTGTTAAGCATTAATTAATGTATTTTGATTAAAACACTTCGCTTTTTTATTATTTTTGTGGTTTTAATACCATGGGCATTCTCTTCCAGCTAAACCTTAGGGTGATGCAGAGACCAACTCATGGTGATGCAAGACGCAAGAATTATCTTATCATCTATCCTTAATAATATTATTTCTGTCTTACGAGCTATATATTTGTCAACTGAGTTGCAAAAGATAGGATTTTACAATCGAAACTTCCCATTACCATAATATCAGAAGCAAACAACTTGAACAGGATCAATATCCCATGTAATCCACACAAAACCATTACTGAACTTCTACAAAACAATCTACAAACCACAAATGAAACATCAATATCAGACTTCGAAACAGCGAGCTGAACTCAAAATTACAACAGCGGAATAATAGCAGCAGAACGCAACAATAATCGACCAACAACACTTAAAATTAAGAGCGGCTTTAAAATTTTAAGCAGAACAAAATAACCGTGGCTTTTAATACATCTTGATTATTTTCCGACATAGTAATGGTGGGAGCCATCAGATAGAACGAATGCTCGGAACAGTTTTGGGAAACTTCTACAGAGCTTGAGCCACGAGAAAGGAAAATAAACGAACTGTTGCAATTAAACTTTGCAATGTTGAAAGAGGATCGAGTACTATTCGCTTTTTGAAGCTTTTGTTCTGTTTAGTTTATTTGTTGGTGAGGTTTTGGCTATGATCGATTAATTTTTTGCTGCAAGCAATAATTGAAAATAATTATAAATAGGTTGTACTTTTTTCAAACCTAATTCTGAATTCAATGCCTAGAATATTATGCTTGCCAATTGGGATGATGACAGGATATGAAAATTAAAAATATAATTAGTCTGTAAGTTAGGTGAAAAAATATTAGACACGTATTTTTTTATTTTGTTGTATAATAAAACAAAACTTAGATAAAACGAATTAAAGTTTAGGAGTGGGGGCTAAAACGTGATTTCTACGTATAAAATGTACATATAATGTGACGGCACGCAATATTTCAAATCGATATATCGTCGAAAGCATTCGTGTAAAAAAATAAAAATACGTGTCTAATGATTTAAAATAATCTACCAAACGGACATTAAAATAAAAATTAGGCATCTACCCTATTACAAAAGTGTATTTTTAGGTTATCGTATCTCATCAATAATCAGAAGTCAAAATCAAATACAAACATAAATTCAGAAAGAGTCCACTTTAAAAAAGCTTTGTTAAAATAATAAACGTCAACAATTAAAACCTCGTTCCGAAAAGCATGTAAAATTTTATCTCTTTCAGCAATGTAGTTGGGAAATCCTCTTAACTCATAATTTACTGCAGGGCAATGACATCTGCGCTGTTGTGAGTTTCAGCAAAAATCCAATATAAACTGAGCAACAGGCAAAATGGACAATACAGGAAGTACATAATTATTATCATGATGTATATAATATGAATTTTGAAGTTGATTTAGTTATTGTAATACCTTATTCTATTGATATAGAGTCTAAAGTCCAGAAAAATGGCTAGTTATACTATCTTCGAAATGCCAGTAAAACTTTGTTTGAAACCATATTAAAATTTCCCAAAAACACAACATTTGACAAAACAATACTTGCACATACATACACGCTAAATTGACGAACCTAAACAACAAAACATTTACATACAAACAGCAACACATTTGTATCTCCTAAAAAAACCCGAAACACATAAAACATTAATAGGAAAACATCACTCCTTCATCAAAGGTTCTAGTAACAAACGCCTTCCGCAAATAACAAAGCCCCTGAACCAACGCCACGTGGATACAAAATAAACTGCGATGCCACGTCACGATACACGATATTGGCTCGATAAAGGACTCGGTAAAGAATGGATCACGCTACTGTTTTTCAAGTGACGTACTGTTCGGTACTCGAAATGCACGAAAATGTACAGGTGATACTTGAAACTTTTGTGGTGGAAGCCTAGGTTAGGAAAGCAGTGTCGAGGTATTCGACATTCAAAATTCCCGTAGTAACAGCATGGAGTAAAGATGTAATATTTTGGATCTTAGCTAATATCGAGATATATAGCAAATTCATCTTACTTACTACAAATGTTTAAAGCACAAGCAACCCTATTGGCTCTGCTTTAACAATTAAAATACTTTAAACATAACTTTTCGTTGAACTAAAAAATCCCATGGAGTCGCATGACCATTGACACTGCTCTGGTAAAATACTCAACCGCATTAAACACCGCAGTGCCAATAAATTAAAGTTCAAAGAACTGAAAGAAAACTAAAGCTATATTACTAGCGTGTACCACGTGGGTACAAAGTAAACGATAGTACCATCGGATATTGGCTCGATATAAAATTACTTCGCGGCACGTGATCTGAGTTACAATTGAGACTCAAGAAATCATGCTGTGTGCTTCAAGCTAAGATACAGATATCTATTTTTGTGTCTAGGACTTTTTATGACGTTTAAACTGAAAACTGGTTTGCTTGATTGTTAAGCACGACATCTCCAAATGACGGTCACGGTTGCCGCTATAGTTGGTCAGAATCAAAATAATTTACTTTCGCTAAATTAGGTCCAACAATGGCACTTTTCGAACGTCAGAATTAAATTGTCTGTCATTAATTTTAGCGATAAATGTAATATTCATACTATTTGTATCATTAAGGTATTTGGACAAGTTCTTCATATTTTTGAAGTTTTCACCAGGGGCTGATCTGTTATAGAAATAGATCGAAACTATTATTTTCTTGTCACATTTGTACTTTCTCAGAATATTTGAAAGGTTTCGGAAAATAAGAAATATTTACTAACTTGTAGCCGAAGTATGTTTGTCAAAGTACTTTTTGTGTTGAGTTTGTCACCTACAAATAGAAAAACATAATCTATTTTGCTCAGTGCGAGTTTTATGACAAAGTTTGATGCCTAAATATACTTTCTAAGGTTAAAAACTTACGCGTGTAA